GGGTCACAATAACACGGCAAGTAACCCGGTCATGCGCGCATTCGCCACCGTAAACCTGAAGCAAATTACCCGGTGGCTCTCAGAACGGGTTATTTTCCGTGGGCCAAAACCGGGTTAAAAGAACTTACCATATGCATCATTTCACCCGGTGGTTCTGAGGGGGCTTGACCGGGTGATTTCAGTGCTTTCGGTGCGTTTCAACCCGTTATTGGTTGCTGGCCTGGTGGCCCGTTCAGGTCACGCTTTCCACCCTGCACATCACCGGAGAAGATTATATAGACACAAGTTATATATTGCAATGGTAAGGATATTAAGGTAAAAGGACAAGCTCAAGCCTCTGTGTAGCAATGGTACAGTACTTATACACACAGTCGGTGACATCCGGAGTTGGTAAATCAAAACAATGGTCATACAATACTAAATTTCCCATAGCGAAACAACGCACCAAATCTTTGAAACCCTCGTTGACGAACAGTCCCTCAGATGCCTAGACGTCTTCGAACTAGGCCAAGCGAGCATAAGGTGATCGTGCTGCAGGAGATGCAGTCAGTTAGCATTGAAAGCAAGACGATATTGATAGCTGTGCGTACGAGAAACCATTCGAGCTGAGGGGATGGGCTAGCACTGACGCGTTAGAGGGCACGCTGTCGTCGGCGCTGTGCGTGTCGTGGCCCTGTGTTCTTGTCAGGACATCAGCGGCAAAGTTTCAAAGAGAAATGTTGTCGGCAATATTAATGGTCAATGAATGACCGCATGGAAGTGCCGCTCGTAAACAGCGACGAGAAGTGTTGAACAGGACGCGAGCGTTGACAGTGGTCGTGACGGTACAGAGCAAGGAGCGACTTGTGCGCGGAAGAGGGGAAGTGTGGTGTCAAGAGATGACTATGACATCGTGGCCCCACGGGCCTTCGCCACAAGTCGCCACACAGAAGTAAAGGAAGAAAAGTGGAGAAAGCGAAGAGATTCTGAGAGAGGATGGTGTAGTCTAGTGTGGTGCAGCGTAGAGTAGTGTAGCGTAGCCGCAATAGTCGTGATATATAGAGAACGAACCTTTTCCGATAACCTTCGTGTGGTATCCTGCATGAGCGCACGTAAAGCCCCAATGGACACCTTGATGAGCGTCACCGCGTGGCTCATTCGTCGTTTTCGGAAACGAAGGCAAACCTCTGCTTCGATCAAGTGGCGGTATATTCAGGCGGGAGGACAAACAGGGAATGAGAAGGGAGAGAGATATGAGCGTACGTGAGCCATGAGACAGTCCAGGCATACGTCCACGCGTTCCATAATGTACAGAAAATCCGTTTGGAGGACGAATAAATCAGCATCTTCGTCGCGGTCTCCAATCCCTGAAAATAGTCCAATATCTGCTCAATCGCATTCTGTAGCTTTACCAATCAATCCCACACCAATCAATCAAAAGCGTCAGCCACCCGCGTCTGAATATGATACCCACCTGACGATCGACGACTCACCCTCTCCTCCATCAACCTCTGACAAGCCTGCTGCAAACTCCTTCCCCTTCATCCACACTCCTGCACCCCTTCGACGTGTTCTCCACGCCCGCATTCTCTATCCTCCCGACCAACGTTTCGCAAACGGCCAATCAGTACTCGACTCCCGTCAGATGTTCCCTAGAATACGACCCTGGGCTATGCACTACCAACTCAACGTTGATCGCGAGCCAACTGTGGAGCTGTTGCGAGGTTTGCATCGGCGCAGTGGGGTTGGGGTGTGAGTATAAGCGTGGAGTGGAGGGATTGGAGCTCGTGGTCGTGGAGAGACCGGGGAGGTCGTGGAGGGGCGGATGCCGAGTGTTGACGATTGCGATGGAGGAAGAAAATTTCCGAAACGGAGGAGTGCTCAAGCTTGAGAACTCGCTTCATCCATCGTAAAATATTCACCGTTTTT